AATATCAACTGTGCGAAGTGAAGGATGTGTAAAATGCCATGATCAGAGTCAGTACTCACCATTTCCAAAAGGTACACATTCTGTACATGAAAATGTTGCATTAAGCTCTTTGTCTTTCAAATGAATATATTTCCCATCAAACCTTGTAAAATCAGATGCACAAAACTCCCACTCATCAAATACATCATCCGGATCAAGGGTGTCTTGCTCATAAAACCCACAGCGCTTGCACTTCTTATCTTGTAGTTCTGTTAGGGGCTGAAAACAGCAAAAGCTAGATTAGTTTCTCAGTGTTAATCTTCCATACGACACAAGAATGAAAATCTAACACCAGTGCTAGGTTCTCTTCTATAAATAATTGTCAAATGCAGTGCAGGTAGCCAGCAGACTTTAGCTCTACAGAACAAAATGGAGAAAAAAAAGTTAAACCCAGTGAAACACTTGTAACCATTACATCACCAAAACTCATGAGGCACAGATCACTGAGTATAACTTTCTTGAGATGTCCCAATACAGGATCTATTCACAGGCAAAATACAAAGATTCAAAAGAAAAGCTATGGACTAATGGAAGGCAGGGTAACTTTTGAATATGCCATGCTATTTTCTTTCTGGAGGGAGGGGGAGAGAGAGAGGACCCAATGTTGTATCGAGCTATACACCGCTAAAGACCATGAAATGACAAGAAATCATTATAATATCCCAAGTTCTACTACACTGAAATCAAGAGAGGAAGAGGACAATAACTCTGGAACATCTTTCTTAAGATATTGACAGAGGACTTCAATGTGCTAATGAACCTATAAATCAAATTAGTTAAATGGATCAATGCATCCATCAAATAAAGCGCACACAGGCATTTAATCTTGGCATTAAAATATCTCAACTAGACCTTAACCAACCAAAACACATAAGGGGAACATTCCGTCAAAATGAAATAATATTCACTGATCAGTCACCTGCCAAGACTCTTCACCTTTGAAGGTATACAAGACATGCTTTTCCTTCACATCAGGTAAAATTGTCTTGTTCTCCCCTTTACATAGAAAGTAGACTGTAGGTTTGTGTGGTAACCATTCATGGGTTTTATATATCTCAATCGAATCAAGTGTAATGGTGGCAGCTGATATTAACACTGCACAGGAAAAAAGGAATCTTCACCAATGTTAACTTAAGTGTCTTTTAATGTCATAAGAACAGCATATATCTATCATGAAACTATTTCTGTTGAAATAAAAGAGAACCATGCCTCGAGAAATCTTGCTCGATAAGGAGGAAAAAGTAACTATATTTCATCCCCATTGTTTTGCAAATACTCATCAACAATGTTCATATAGCTAAAGCCTAAAAGTTTAGTTTAGCGCACAAACAAAATGTAGCTATGCAATTTGAGGAATGACTATACTAGTATTAAATCAGATTCTTTTTCGTGTGATATTCTAAAATTCAACTACACATCTATCAGGTTTCGTAACAAAGAATTTGAGAAACATTTTTGTTCGTCATTTTTTTGGAGTAGCCACGGGCAGATGAAAAACAAGAAAGTACGCAATTTCATTTCTCAGAAATGGATTTCTTTTCTTTCTTCCCCAAGTGCCCACTTAAAAAAAATAGGAAAGAAACTGGTAATATTACCAAGAAAGACAGAAGAAAAATCCTTTACATAAAATTTTATATATGACTTCTGAAAAAAATGTAAGAAGCAGCTTCCCTATCCCAATCAGACTACGTAATCAGTGTAAAAGGCTAAACCCGGATTGGATAAATGACAAAAATGAAAATTAATTCATCAAAACGGGAAAATTTACCTGGAAGGTATCGGAGAGAAATCAAGCATAACAAAATGAATACTCGAGGTACCATCGAACGATCGTTCTCGCTGCACTGGATTAATATCGATCCTTTAAATACTGAAAACTATTAGTTGATCGAAATTAGGGTTCATCGAAATTTACATTTAAGTCAAAAGCTGGGGTAAAGAATGAGCAATCGTGGGAGAGGATAGGAGAATTGGGTGCGCGCGTTTTTCAGCTGTCGTTTTATTAGTAGATTGTCCGCTTCGCTGTTGGAGTTGTACCCAACAAATGTAAAGGATGGAAGAGTCCACTTGGGAATTGGTAACCGACTTTACAAAAGGTACATGCCTCTTTTCATGATTTTTACCTTTTACCTTTATTTTCTGTAGAATAATTTTTAGGCGAAGTTATCTTAATTTTTATTTAAAAATTAATTTTTACAAGAATTTCCCATTTGTTTGGTACAACTCCAAACAAGCCATCAATTAGGTCAAGTATTTCTTACATTTTTTAATTTTCTATTTGTTTATTATTTTTGGTAGAGATTACAATTAGATTTTTAATAAATTTTGATAAAA